TTTTTTGTATGAAGTTGTATCACAAGCGCCCATTTGACTTTATTGAATCTATGCTGGATGTCCCTTTCACTTGGTAGTTCTATATCCGTGTATGAGGCCAGACTGGGCCGCCGCCACCATGCACTGGAGAGAGCGACCTTGGCTGGTGTCAAGGTCAGCGGTACCGCCCCGCCCGCCGTCGCCTCCTGCCCTGTGATAACACCCACACCAGACGCGCCCTCCACAAATCTTATTACGGGAAACTTTGGATTACCTTTTGGTTTATTACTGTCTGGTGGAGTTAGTGCTGAAGGGGGGGGAGGGTTGCAGTAGGTGCCGAAATGGAGTTTTCAGAAAGGTGGGTGGGTCTTCATTCTTCAATAGGCGGTTTCGAGCTGCCACAGTGAGTTGGGTGGTTGCGTGCAGATTTGAACAACACTGCTAACCCATTGTCGCTATGGTGTGAGAAGGGAGTTTTTCATTAATGATTAGACGTTTAGAACCAAATTTACATATCCATAAGAAAAAAAAATTTTCCTTGCTTATGTGCAGCGGCTCAGTCTACGGTGTTTAACCATTAAATTCTAATGGCAGCAAACACGTGCCAACCAAACGTAAGATAAAGATCTTTGTTAGATTGTTTCTTGCGTGTCAGCTTCTCATAAATAAGTAAGCCCAGTAAACTCGTCGCTATTCGTCTTGTGGAAATGTCTTGTTATGCCTTACACCATTTACGATAATAATGTCCGTAACACTAACAAATTATGTTGCATCAAATTAAAGGAAGAAAATTCACCACCCTGTCATAAGTTGACATTTTATCATTTAGGTCGAACAGTGTAAAATGTCCAGCCCTTTACAAGCCCCCACGCCGAGCCCCTCTCCTTGTATATGCTGGAAATGTCAAAAAATGTGGAAGAGTTCCACCTGGATAATGGATCAGTTGCATGTCATAATTAGTGCAGGTAATGAGGGCAACAGGCCTACCTGCTCCCCCGCGATGACACACACACACACACACACAGCTGCTAGGATACCTTGAACTGTCAGCTGTTTTTAGTCTTGAGTATTAAAATGTTACTCCTTCGTGTTAAGCTCCCTTCAGCAACATACTCAAGTGTTATGTTACCTCGGTAAGCTAGATACTTAATCAGGGGGGATTTGGTTACTTAATCCGGGAAATCTCCTTATCGGTGCGCCTGGTTATTCGTCCGGGGATAATGGTTGAAGTTGTATGTTAGTTTAAGGTGGACGTAATGCCGGCGGGATGATCATGGCGATGTTAGGATAACGAAGATATTTCCTGTTGTGGCCCAACTTTCTTGGCACAGCCGGCAAGATTGTGTGTGCTCGCGCGCAGTACATCAGGCACATTGGACACACACACTAACCTGTAATTTTTTTTATTCCCAATTACGAAAATCTGTCCATTAGATTGGAATTATTTTTTATGGTGAAAGTTTCGTTGTGATGAAAATTTTCTTGGTGTGGGGAGAATCGTGGTTTGCCTTTGCCCTTAAATGGGAAGTACTTTAGTGTACGAGTCGAGTGGTTACGACTTAATTTGGGGAATACGATAATCGGATATACACCAACAACACTGTAAATTGTTATAAACGTATTAAATTTTATCGTTCCTGGACAACTTACTGAAAATGTGTAACAGGAAGTACAAGCGGACCAGTGCTGCTGCTGTTTTCATTTTCTTATTCTGCTGTGTTTCTCTTGTTCCTGCTTTTACTGCTACTGCTCTTCCTTCTGCTCCTGAGGGCGTGGTTCGTGGTGGTAGAGGGTAGTGCTTCGTCAGATACTACCATGAGCTCGCACTTCCCGTCGTCGTGTGACCCACCTTGCATGTCGCCCCCCACCCGCTGTTCCTAATGTGCATTCTTTGTGTGCAGGGAGTACTGGTGTGGGCAGGGACACCTTGGTGTTGTAGGTAGGGACTGGCTGTGGTGTGTGTGTGAGCACCTCTGGGCTTGCATTTGGAGGTGATGCTTCGAGTTAAAGCTGAAATACCCAAACAGTTCTTGTTCTGAAGGTTACTAACTGTCAGTGATATTGTAGAGGTTAAGGAGTGTTAAAACACCAATTGGTAAGTTAGACATTTGGCGCACTGTTGAATTATTGTTGTTAGTGTTCGTAGTAGTGACAGTGTAGTGACTCGTACCCTTGATTATAGTGCGCTGTTCCCACGGTTGTGGTGGGTGGGAGTTCATGCCATTTTTACACATTAGTTTGCTTATCATCGTTCTCGAGGATTTAATTATCCACAATGTGGGACACTTAATTTGTTTTGTAACATCCAGAATAAAATATTAGTTGCTTGATTTCGGACAGAACATGGAAACTCGGGCCTGTATGGTTTCTGCCGATAGTGTGATGTATAAAATACGTGTTAAGCTCATTAAGGATGCAAGCTAAAAATGGTAATGTGTTGGAGGCGAGGGAGGAGTAAGAGGGCCAGCCTAGGTTGGTGCAGCAGGTGCGGTTGTGGTGTAGATGTTGCTATTGATCCCCACACTCGGTATGCACGACGGCTGACACCAGTCTTTGCTCCCTCCTACTTGTCTTCCTCGACTCTAGCACACAACCTCACATCTCACCCTCCTCTTTGCTCTTCCGTCGAATTAGATTTATACTTTAATCAAATTGCTTCTCAACTTTTTTTTAAAGTACGGTATGGTATTATTGAATTGGTCGTAGTTGTGCACTGCAAATAAAATTATTTTTGCTGTATTTTCAGTAAACATTTGATAACTTCAAAGTCTTACGAGCATTGGAATTGAAGGGCTTTTTTTTTTAATATCTGTAGTTAACGATATAGTTCGGTTAATTACTCAATGATCGTGTATACAATTTTCTGCTGTTGTACTTATGATGACAGGTGCTGCTGCTTCCCCTCCACACACTTCCCCCCTCTACTACAGCTTCAAGGAACCATCAAGTACCAACCCCCCTTGCATTACCCTCTCTTCCTCCTCTCTACTTTGCTTCCAGCTCGGCCCTCCACCCCACTCCGCCAGTGTTTCGTAAGCAGCTTCCTTGCGGTGAGAGCTGCGGGCCCTCCCCTGCATCCCAGCCTTTTGAATTCTCCCAAACACTGTGGGTTTCGCCTCGTTGCCGTATAACTGGACCCCCTCCGTTCTTACCTTGTTTACCCGCAGCTTTACTGCCCTGCCACAACTTACCCGCTTTCCACCCTGATTTTGACTGGTTTCCCCTCGTTGTAGGTGCTTTACGTTACCGGTTTCCCTTCCCCTCTTGCACTTTCTCCCCCTTCTCCCTCCCCGCCTCCCTCTCCCTCCCCTCCTTCAGTCGTGATTCAGTGTGTTTCCCCCTTGGTGGGGGTGGCCAGGGCCCCCCCACCAGACCGACTACTCCACGCCCAGGTTCTGGGAAGTGGCCATAAACCCGAGGGGCGCACATGTCACCATTCTTACCCTCGGCCGCGCTCTCACCATACCTCTTCTATCAGCTCTTGTTTCTTAATCCACCTGAAAGGCAGTTAAGAGAGTTCTGTAGTCTTCCAGGCGCCGAGTATTGTACAAGCTTCAGTAAGATTGTTCCGAACTTAAACAGATTGCGACACATTGAAAGAAACTGCTTAGACCCCATCTTGAACCGTATTGCTTTACATTGAAGCTTGCTTGGAATGTAACTATGTATTTTAGCCAAGTTTCTGTAACTACCTTTAGTTCCCATATGACGTGTAAAGCTGGATATTTTATTAGCCAGCCACGTCAGGTGTAAATCATTTTTAAATACTATTGGAAGTCTTCAGTCAATTAGTCGGGGATTTTATGGGGTATTTATGAGAACCAGGGAAAGGGGAAGTGTGTGTGAAGATCTAACCTTTAGTGGAGTAAATATCATGATAAAGATTTTACTAAAGAAGTCAGGTAGTGGAGGGGTGATGTGTCCAAGGTAGTGATTGTTCCCAGGTTAAATATTATTGGTGGTGAATAATTGAAGTGAGGTTGTAACTGGTCAGGAGAGCCAGAAAAATATCGGGCAACTTCGAAAGTAAATTTATATAGTTTTGTTTTGAGTTTCAAGAAGTATTGTGGAATATCCGGGAAAGTTGTAATACAATTAATCCTTAACATCAATATATTTTCTTAACAAGTGTGTATTCGGCATAGTGACTCCCGGTAACTGGTGCATATTTGTCGAGAATGAATTTTAGATGTTATTGATATGGAAACCGTTTATGTAGCAAAGTTAAGAACATGTCATTTAAAAGTAGATGTATTTTATGGAGCAGGAGTTGGGTAACTGTTAACACGGTGGGTTGACGTAAATGGGGATTAAGACAAGGGATTGGTGGTGAGGGCTGTAGGTGACGAGGGAGGGGCAGATAGCACCCATTAGTTTCGACTTTGAATTGGTGCATTAGACCCAGTACAGTATGTGATCCTGGTCGTCGTGGGGTCCTGTAATCTGACTTTTTTCTTTTTCTTTTTTCTTTCCGTGTTAAAGATTGAGGATGTATTGGTTTTAGAGCTTAGTGTATGTCCAGAATAATTGTCAAATATATTGCTGCAGTTTTGACGCTATCCCTGTGCCGACGTTACAGTAAGCCAACCAGTTGCCTCCTCGCATCATCTAGGAAGGGGGACGGGGCCAACTTACCAAACTTTAAGAATCCAAGACCAGGATGTCTTTTTAAATGCCCAGTGAAGGATTCGTTCTGGTGAGGTTTGCAGTGAATAATGTCCACTGGGATGATAGCTGTCGGATGTTAACGTGACGCAAAGGTTATCAAACTGATAACAAATGATAATGTTCGGTACAATATGTGAATCCTCACTATACGCATTGGCAGCAGACGATGAAGTAGGTTTGTGTATAAACGAAATCGTGAAAACCACTTCTGATCAGTATAACGGAAACAAATTATTAGCAACTAATTTATCGAAGAAAAAAAATCGCACCTCAAATCTGAAAGTTCCGACCTGCAGTCCACACATTGGTGTTGAGTGATGACTCAAGTGGTCTGTCCCTTTGTTTACTTATAGGCCGGTATCATAAGAAACCCATCAAGAAGGGCCAGAAGAAACCCAAGTGCAAACAGCCCAAGAAGTGCAGGAAGTATGTTGGTGAGTATGGTAGCCCGGGGCTCCCTGCCACGCCTCGCTGTACCTCTTGATCTCCTGTGTTTGCATGTTTGTTGTATTCCACTGCCATTAAAACTTTGACCAACCAATAGACACATCATTGTTTTGTTCCTAATTTGCTGTAATGTTCACAATTATGGAGGATTAAAAAAAAGGTAAGTATCGCTTTGTTTTATTATGTATTATGTTCTACAAAAATAAAAATGGTTTAATGCATTGTTCTTGTTACTCGTTTGTTCATAATAATGACATTATGAAGACATCCTTCAGCTAAGGTTATTTTACCCTCTACTTCCCTCCTGTGTTCTCCCTGACGTTGTCGTGTCTTGGATTGAAGGAAGGACGGGGGTGATTCCTGGTCCCCCCGTTGTCGCATGTTGTGCTTTTTCCCCGCGGGCCACCTGCCACCCTGCCCTCCACGTTGTTATATAGGCCTACAGCACAGAAAATTGCCAGCTACCCATCCCCCCGACTTCTGCTTCTTCACTCTTCAATAAGTTGCTTTGTCCCCACAAAGGTCTACCATTATGGTTAGCCTACGCTCTATCCAGTTAAATTAGTCCCCCACTGTTTTTACTGTGATTTCACCAACTGACTTTTTGTGGTTGTTGCCGGCCTTGTCTGTTGCCTCCCCTCCTCCCTCGCCTGGTGTAATGGACAGAATGCCAAGACTCACTAGTTGGGGCGCTTCTGTCCCTGCTGGTGAAGAAGAAAAGTATCGGCGACGGCGGATCTCCCTGTGGTGCTTGTGATCCCCTCTATTTTCCCCTTACTATCAAGGAGCCGTCAAGACTTCTCTACTCCAGGCGATGTGTTCTCCTCAGGTTCAAGTATACATGTGGGTCTTTTTTCTCCCCTTCACATATTTTCACCTTTTCGTTTGTGTTCCTGTCTTCGACCCACGATACACCTCGGGTCATGTACACATTATTTTGTACTTGTATATTCGTTCAGCCATTTCATTGTCTTTGTGGGTTGTTTAACGTCCTCAATGGTGCGGTATAGTGGTGCTCAGCGCTATGGTGTTAATGTTCATGAAGAAATACTTAGCTGGTGATTGCTGTGGATGGTGGAGGTGGTGGTAGTAGTAGGGGTGATGGCTCTGGGGATTGTGGTGGTGGTAGTGGGGTTGTAGTGGTGATGGCTCTGTGGATGGTGGTGGTTTGAGAGATAGAGTATCAACAGTAACGACCCCTTGGGCTGTTATTTCGCATCCTTAGTCCCCTTCCCCTCTTCCGCCGCCTCCTTTCTCCTCATCCACCTCATTCCCATCCTCCTCCCACGTTATCGGTTCTCTCTCATTCTAGGTTTTTCGTTTTCTTTTCTCCTGTTTTCTTGTTTTCGTCGCCCTTCCTTACACGCTTTTCTACTTTTTTTCGGTTTCCGTTAATTCTGGTTTTTATTTCCTCTTTCCGTAAGGTTTTTCATCCCCCTTTCTCTCGCTTCTCCTTTTCCTACTATTTTTCTCTTCTTCCTTATCTCCCCTCGCCTTTCCATTCTTGTTTTCTGCACTATCTACTCCGGGTCTCTCTCTGCACTTTTCATCGTCCTCACTGCTTGTTTAAGCTGGGTCATCCCTTTGCAACTGGGTGTGCTTTGCTCCCTCCCGTGTTGTGACTTGGTGGTGCACAATGTTGTGGTGGTCTACTATGTCTCTCTCTCCTTTCTCTCCCCTTTCTCTCTTCTCTCTCCCCTTTCTCTCTCTCCTTTGTCTCTCCCCTTCCTCCCCTTCCCTCCCTCTCCCTCCCCCTCCCCCTCTCCCCTCCCCTTCCCCTCCCTCCCCCTCTCCCCCTCTCCCTCCCCTCTCCCTCCCTCCCTCCCCCTCCCCTCTCCCTCCCCCCCTCCCTCCCTCTCTCCCTCCCCCCTCCCCCCTCCCTCCCCTTCCCCCTCCCCTCCCTCCCTCCCCTCCCCCCTCCCAAATTCCTCCGTGTGTTATTGTTCCCCTTTCTTATCTCTGAGTTCATTGGTTGAGATGGCGGGTGTGGTGGGCTTGGGGTTGTGAAAGTTTGGTAGTTGTGGTTGTATTTTGATTGGTAGTTATGGTAGTCTTTTGGATGGTTAGTTGTGGTAGTGTCTTGGTTGGCATTTGTTGTATTCTGGTTGACCGTTGTGTTGGTGTAAAATATTCTTCGTCGTTTTTTGAGCTGCCGTCGTCGGTGGTGGGTTGACAAGAGGCCGCCTCCCCTGCCGTACATTTTCACCATCGTATATATAACAAATGTCTCGGCTTCCCAGGGTTCGTTTCCCAGCTCCTTCATTACATTCACTATTTTTTCTCCCTTCATAATCTTGTTATTTTTCTGCTCCAAAATGAATTTTTATTTTGTCTGCGTTGTAAGTTCGTATTTCTTGCGCGAGCCCCCTTTTTTTTTGTTTTTTGTTTTTTAAGGTTTTGACAGGTGGCTGACGAAATATTAATAAATTGAGTTTTCACGAGTTCTTTTTGCCTTTAAAAGTTTTCCATTTTGAGATTTCTAGGTTTATAAATAATTCTTGCTTATGTTTTAAATGACGGATATTACCCAGGCTTTATCCCGAGTTCTTTCATGGGGAAGTGTGCCCTTGCTGATGCAGACTTCGTGATGGTAGTTTCTCAGCAGACCTGAAGTATCCGGATTTTTATAGGTAAACAGTTCCCGGCAGGATTGTTCTCTCGGCACGCAATTTTCAAGATCTTCTTTTCAGGTGAACTGGACGTAAAATTTTGTCAGCCGCTGGAGCATGTTGGTGGAAGTTGGAAGGGGGGGGGGGTGGCCCCGAGGGGAATGTTGGCGTGGTCCGGAAGGGGGGGGGGGAAGATCGGCGTGGTGGCCTTTGATGATAACTACGTAATACGCCTCGCCACACCATCTTGAATTACGCCTCTCCACACACCTGACTCTTGCCTCCTGACCAACCGGTTTTACTTACACACACACACCACACTCACTCACTCAAATGCACCTTCTCTCAGTTAATGGTCTTTATCACTGAACAGTTGTCTTGATACTACAACTTTTGCCTTTTACTGCTCCTGTGTTTCCCGACACAGTTTCCTGTCCCTCCGAGCGTCGCCATCGTAACGAGGGAGAAGCTACATAACCAAGGTAATGGGCTGAAGTTAAGGGTAGTTAAACTCGTTACTTCAGCGCCTCCACCTCATCCCTCCCCTCCCTCTCGCCGCCGCCTCGTCTCACTCCCTTTACCTAACACGTGCAATTTCTCGCACTTGGTTTACCCATCACCAGGAATATTTAGCCAAGATGTATATTTATCTATATAATTCATCCATATTTGTTGTGTAAACACTAACTACCACTCGTATAATGTTCATTCGAGTTACCCTTTTGTGAAACTTGCCTAAATGTCTGCAATTATTACTGTAGTTAGTAATGAAGTGTTTTGTCTCGCCGCTGGGATCTGAGGAGACAGTGGGTGGGGGAGGGGGGTGTAAGGAAGGTGAAGTGGCATCTGCACATCATCAGTGACACTTTAAGTATTTATGAAGTTGTGGCTGTTAAGATCCTCCAAATATTTTATCTTAGATTTCGATCCCGTGAGGATAGTAAAGGATAAGTGCTTTGGTAATTTTGGTGATCTACGTTTTATAGACATAAGTGAGGAAATGTTTGCTTCTAGTTTTATTAGTATTTTTTCCTTGGCTATAACTACCTGAATTTAACATTATTAAAGAAATTTTTAAAGTTTGATTCTGGAATATGTTCCTTGATAGTTTGTTGAAGGACGCTTTTTGTCGGCAATAGGTAGCAAATCGGTTTGATAGACTGAAGATTGGGGATGTGGGCGAGGCAGGAAGGGGGGGTTGTCTGGGACTAGCAAGGTCAGGAGCAGGGCGCCGCCTTGGCTCTGGTGGCCCCGCCAATGACGTCAATGTTGCTGCCAGGCTGTCTCCTCCACCAGCAGGAGCCGTGTCCCACAGCTTTCGCCGTTTAAAGTGTATTCTCGAAATGTAGAGACTGCCATCTAGGTTGTGGTGAATCGGGCGAGGATGGTGGTAGTGGGCTCACAGACGGGGGATGGGACTGTTTACCCGGGGCTATGACGTAATGCTAGGACAGTGAACCCACACGCTGCCGCCATTCTCCTCCCAGTTTCCGTCTTCCTCCGTTTTACTTTCCTTGCCAACTAGTTTTTAAACTCTGACTTCTCATAACTATCCAATTATTTTTAAGTCCCTTTTACAAAAATACCCTAACAAACCCAGAGGCGCTTACTCAACAGGTTCAGAAACTTGTGTTAATGAATACATCTGCCACTGTTATTTTAGCAGACGATTTAATCTTACGCTGATGGTGGCAGTTGTAATTTATAGTAGTGACGTAATGTAATAATGTGGCAAGACCATTGGCTGCATAAAGTGTACGAGTGGAGTGTTGTGGGAGCCTCAACTCCATGGTGCCACTGTCGCATTGCAGGTGAAGGCGGTGGCGGTGGTGTAGGCCCGGCTGTTTCCTTCCTTACTTCCGTCACGTCACTTCTCGCCCGTCTTAGACTAAACTCAAATACTGGATTTCTTTTCTTCATTTTAGCTACTGCGCTGCAGCTTAACCCCCATTTAGATTTTTGTTTACTAACCTTTTATTTATTTATTTCATTTTTTTATTTACGGAAAGTTTTCTGTGGTTTGTTGTCAGTGATATATGCATTGATCCGTCTGGGCGACACAAGGACTAGTCAACTCAGCACGCCGACTAGCACTCGGCAACAGCACTTGTTGAATACTGGTACCTGTTGCCAACAAAAATAATTCCTCCATTTAAACTGTTGTCACGCATGATTCAGCCGCTGGTTTATAGTTTTCCCGGTCAAACTTAGTTGGTTAAGACCACGGAAAATAAAATTTGTAGTAGAGGAAGGAAGTTAAACTGGCAGAGCGAGTGAGGCAGTTGTGACTGTGATGCATTAAATGTTTTCGGGCTCAATGTCAGGTGAACAGCAACACCTATTTGAAGCCGTGTGGGCTCTCCCATTTTGACTAATTGAGGCTGACCCCAGGGCCGTCTGTAATTCCAGTTGTGGAGAGCCCTATGGTCACCGACCCATGTTTGAGACCTGACTACCTATTCATTACTTGGAGAACGTCTTATTAAAAGAATCCAATTTACTGCACTAGTTTTCTGGTATACGAAATAACTAGACCGACCGAGTTGAACTACGAACCCAGCACCAGAATTTATTGAATCATTGGAATTGCAAATGGTTTATAAGAACAGGAGACCAGTTTAATATCGACTCCCCGATGGCTAGCTAGTTCTGTGACGAGCCCGTGTGTATGAAATGGAGTATATTATTATTACATGGGACTCCCTTGATGATAGTTTGCTCTGAGCCGAAGTTATTAATCTAAATTTATCACTTTCGACCTCATGAACCGTTAAATTCGTCAGCTTTGCACACACTGAGTGTGACACTCAGGCCACCATTTAAAAACTGGTGTGGAAGGAAACTGCCTCATGCTCACCACTGTTCACAACTTCCTGAAAGTTTCTTCTAAACTTCACCTTGTGCCCAGCATATTGAATTTTTATTCCCCGTCGTTATTTTGCTGGTCATAGATATGGAGTCTTTGAGCTCGAAGTTTGGGAATGCCAGACAGATGCTCTAGTAATGTGTGAAGAGTTGCTTTCCATTTCGGACATGTTATTGATGCTGGTTAGTTCTCGGTACTACATAATACGAAATAAAATTAGATGGGTGGTGGTGTATTTGTAATTTCGATAATCCAATAGCTGCAGGTTAGATGGGTGGTGGTGTATTTGTAATTTCGATAATCCAATAGCTGCAGGTTACATAACCACTGTTCACTCGTGGTAAGTGTAAGGCACAACACAGTATCAATACCTTAATACTATACTGTACTTCATGCCAGGGGGGGTCCGTCGCCCCTCCCTTTTTTTTCCCCATCGGGAAATTCCAGTATTTTTTATTTGATGCAGTATTGTACTTGGGCGTTTTTGTATAGTAGAAGTAATTAATATTGACTAAAATATTTCGTGATCAAGTGCACATGGCCTCAAAATGCACATATTAGTCTGTTTCACACACATTCCCCCCTCCCTGATATTCCTGGAACCACCCATGCATGCTGGTCTCAGATGAGTATCTCACGACTTCATTATTAATGAACATTGCCTTCATTATCATTTCTTGTACCATCATGTGAAAAAGTTTGACATTTAACTAGGTATGGTAAAGTATTTGTAGTACAGTAGTACTTTCTAATGCACATTTAAACAGGATTCTGCTTTCTTACAGCCACCGAGATCAGGTGTGAGGAGAAGTCCCGAGGTGGTATGTGCTATGAGGTCATCCTTGCCGAGCCATCTGCTGACAAGCCTGCAACTGCATTAACGTCTCCCCGACCCAAGAGTATGACTGCTGAGGAAATTTCTCAGAAGCTTATGCAAGCTGAAGAACGTAGGAAGGTAAGTTTAAAGCACATTTCTCCATGCAAATTCTTAATATAGACAAATTCCAAATGTAATTGAAAATTACAACTGAATAGTACAGTGTTGGTAGATTGTAAGTACTTGTAGTAAAAGATAATTTTATGGACCCACTTCATCAGAAGTTATTGTAAATAGACAGACTACAAGGAGATCGATTATCTTTACAGTCAGTGGAGGCCTCCCGCCTTGCAAGTGTTGGAGAGCGCATGACCCGCCTGGAGGAAGCTAGCCGTAAGAGAGAACAGTCCACTGCAGATTTCATTTCTGCTACTCAAACTGCTCTGGAAGACAAGCTAGACACTACTTCCAATAACCGTGAGGCTTACCTTAATGGACTGCGTGCCAAGATTTCTGATCACGTGAGTGTTTATAGTTAATTATATATTTTACTCCAGCGCCTATTTTTACAATGTATTTCTGGCTAGAACTTCAGTGGATTGATATGTGGTGGACAAGGTAGAACAGCCGAGTACCTAGACTTTATTTCATGTACAGCAAGGTTATTTTGCATGTGTGAATTTTACTGTCCTAAGGGTATCCTTGTACCTTTTCTGTCGCACACATGCAGACCCCACACACGTGCACTCACAACTGTATATAACCCACTTACACATGTACAATCAAAGACAAAAGTTGTGTTGCGGTTTTGTCCAAAGATTAAATATAACTCCTGAAACATTATGAGAGCCCCGTACCACAAGGTAAAGTGCACCAAAAGTTTAGCCCTTCGGCATATGTTTTCACCAAATTTCACATGACTTTTCTTTTTCATTGTACACACACACACACACACCTGTACAGTCCACATGTGCAAGTACACACAAAGTAGGCAACTGTGTGATCAAATTTGTATCAATGTTGTAAAAGCACTAGGAAATGATTAAGGAAAATAACCTACTTCACTCTACAGTTATACTGTATATTTAAATGCAGTATTCTGTACTTGGAAAAATATAACTGCTTTTATTTAGAGGTTGATAGTGCTGCGAGTAATGTAAGTTAATAAATGAAGCAGGATAAGAGGGCCACTTCTATCGCCATATAATTACCATGGATGAGTGTACTGTAGTTACAATGGGAATTAAGGAATCCAGACCTCAGTTTTAAAAGGCTCAAGTTACTAGAGAATGTATGTTGAGCATTCTTTTAAGCTTCACCCGTCAAGTCCAAATCTGTTGGTGTATAAACTGTAGCTTGTAAGTGCTTAAATGCATAGTACAGTACTGTACAGAATTACTGCTCTCTCATGCCCGAGATGTTCCAATGTCTTAATTTAACTGTATTGTACGTGTAAGGTTGGGAAAAGTTTGGACTTCTAATAACCAAATATTAGAAGGAAGTTTGTGAATAGGGAATGTCTTACTATGGACCCAGTTTGGGCAGACTTCTCAAGTGATGATCCGAGATGCTTATTAGCTTAGAATAACAAGAGTATTGTATACCAAAATTTTATGCAGATGTGATTTTATCAACATTTGCCATATACGTACAGTATTTTGTTCCATATCACGTTTTCTGCTACTAGGCTGTGTTAATTGCTAGTTTTTCTGCCTTTGATCTGCATTAATTATCTATGTACTTTATATGCCTTTATATATAAAACAGTATACAGTATTGGAACTTGTCAAGAATACAACTGAATTCATTTGTATTTATTTAGCTAGAAAATACTTACCTTTACCAGAACAAGAATGTATGTACAGTACAGTATTTATGTAAGCATTAAAGCGAGTGATCGAGAGGGGGAAAGGGTGAGGTACAACACCTTGCTAACCATCAGTAGATGTATGTGTATAGTGGTTTGTATTTAATATTTTAAAACTGTTTCAGCTGAACAATGTTGATGGTGTCCGTAAGCAGTTGGAAACTCAGACAAATGAATTGCGCCAAACCATTCAGGACAAGCTTCGCTCAGCTGAAGAAAACCGAATTGAGAACATGGGCAAGATGCTGGAGAAGCTGAAGGATCATGTGAGTGATGAATAAGAATGTGTTAATATGTACTGAAGACAACTATGGCCATAACAATACTGTACAATTTTAGTCTTGGCTTAAAAATTCAAATTTTAATTCATTGTTGTCTAGTAATTTAAAATTAATTTAATCTGTATGTAGTGAGGACAGTCATTTGTGGGAAAATATTCGCTAATATTGAAGTTGCATATACATATTGTCTTACAGGAGGAATATGCTCAGAAGGTTCGCCTAGGTCATGAAGAAGCCATTCGGCAGCTGGAGGAGAGGATTCAGGCCAAGTTGGTGGTTGCAGAGGCAAAACGCGAGACAGAGATAATGAAGAAACTTGAAACCCTTCGGGAACATGTAGGTTTGATTGATTTTTTGAACTTCCTTTCTGTTTGACTAGATCAATAAAAATTTACCTTTCTCAATTTGTTGATATTAAATAGTTTTTGTAATGTTGATGAATTGCATTGGCGAAGAAGTCGAACATTGATTTTTTGTAGTCATGATTTTTCTTGCATGATATTTAACACTTACCTTAATTGACTGTTAAAAAAAATGGTTACTGTTACCTGCACACCTGGAGTGTTTCTTCTTTCCATGCTTATCTCAAAAGGTTCAAATAGATAAGATTCTAAACCTGCATTCAAAAAGTAATAGTTGCTGATAATATCCAACCTGGATAATAAATCTAGGTGAATCTTTCAGCAATCCTAGACATATTTTTTCACAGTATGGTACTATACAGCAGTACATTGCCACTCGGTTACCAGTGCCATACATTGTCTCCCTAAATATCAGGTCGCATTACAACAATATAAATCAAAATCGCTTTCTTTTTCTTCTCACTAAACGTACTACAATAAATGGTTCATGATAACTGGTACCTGCTTTATATTTTTTTCTTTAAATACTGTACCACTGGCAGAGGATTTGTTTCATGATGACATCTGTTAATTATGAATTCTACATAATTGCTCTATAGATCACAACCAGGCAAATCCTAGATACCAATGGTTAGGACATTTATTTCTCATCCTGGGAGGAGGAGAATCGCTTTAACCATTTCCATTGTCAAGTGAAAGTAATGTGTGTAATTCCCCTATTTTATGGCATACAAGACACTATTTTCTTTTCTGAAAAAAAAAAAAAAAAAAGGCTCGAATTGGCCTGTGTCCTGTATGTGAAGTTGAGGTCTCCGGCAAGTTCATGAATTCCCCAGTTGGCGTTTCCAATAGGCTAAATTCTACCTAACCCAACTCCAAAATTAAGTGTTTTTGCTTACTTAAACACTTATTTTTTTATTAATTAAAATAATTATTCTTGTAAATATAAAAGTTCGATTTATAACTACAGTATTGATAATAACACGAGACAATTAATACAGCAGACACCCAACTCTTCAGAGGTAGTTGGGTAGTAACCATTTCTAAACAAGCATTATTATTTATTAATGTCATACCTGCAACATTTATTTTTAAAGCTACAAATACCTGATACAACTGAAGATTTCCAGATAAATTTCTTTTCACATTTACGTCTGTTAACATCGCTGGCGGCATTGTAGCCAGGCTTAGACTTGTTACTGAGGCTACTAGGCCAAGCTGTGAGGTGTTATGGTCGTCTTTGAACTAGTATTTTCGGGTAGATATACATAGCTTTTTCCATTTATTTTTTACTCCGTTACAAGCACACACCATCCTACATACATATTGTGAAAGTAAAAAAAAAAATGATTGCCCTAAGAGTAAACACACAAAAGGAATATGCATTTCTTTCTATAGGAGTTAGTTGGTTTAGTGGGGGAGTGGGAAGAGGCAAGGCTAGGGAATCTGTTGCTAGGGTGTATATGCACCTGTGGTGCAATGGCCAGTATCCTCGCAAGCGAGCGGACCCAAGTTCGATCCTCGGGCAGGGTGAAACTATGGGCAAGTTTCTTTGCCATTTGCCTCTGTCTACCCAGCAGTAACTGGGAACCTGGATGTTAATCGATTTGTGGATTGTATTCCGGAGTAATGGATAGCCAGTGCTGTTGGTGAGTTGTCCAGTCTTCTCGGACTATTCCGTGACTGTGTCGTGCAGCTCGTTAACTTAGGGTGTGGTTGTTTTGTTGGCGACAGCTTCTACACCTTAACAAATTCACGACTAGGAGGCCCTTGGACCGGCCATCCTCGATTTTGAGGGGCTTCCATTATTATTATATGCAAATGGCAACTGTTAAACTTTCATTTGGCTTTTATTTACTGGTACTGTATATTAAGAAGACTATGGGTACAGGAGGAAAATGCAGTGCAGTACAAGTTTTTCCTAAATTCTCCCTGCTAATATGGGGTGGTGTGTGTCATAAAATACAGTAGCTAAGGCTTGGAGAGCAGTTTCATTAACAGGCTCTAATTTTGAAGTTACAGTTCACTTCTTAGAGGTTCCAAGTTTAAATATGCAAGTTGATTCAGTTATTATTCTAGCCACAATTAAGTTAAGCTGCATTCTTGCAGTTCTTGATGTAATATAAAAAAAAAAATAGCCTTCTGAAAAACATATTCTTGGAGTTGCTTCTACAGAGATGCCTCGTGTTAATTCACAACCTTGAAGAGGAGGTACTAAAGTTGGACTGCCTGGCTGGTTAAAGTTTTTGTACCTTAACTGTAGTTGTGTACTTGGATTTCCTTGGTTTGCACTTGCAGGATATTTTACAGCTCCCTCCATTTATCTCATTAGCTTAAGACAGATTTATTGCCCAGGATAAAAATGAGATTATCTAGTTGATGTTTGCAATTCCACAGTATTATACTGGGTTAGGAACCTCCGGTACCCTCCCTTGTCCTTAAGGGTATGTTATAATGTTGACTGGGGCTAAATTTACTTGGTCCTGAAGATTTTAAATACAGTACTGTATTGCTGATGCCAAGACAGGCAGAGAGTACAAAGTTATTAGAAAGTCGAAACCTGTCTTCCATTGTTACCATGTTTAATTTTCAGTCCCAAAGCTTTGGGACACAACATAATTTTGTCATAATTACTTATCACTTGTCTAAACAAATTCGGTTTTATCCTCTTGTTTTTAGTTTCTCTTATTTTTTTAAATAGGTTTTCTTTTTAATTTTACATTTGTTATTTTGTTTTGACTTTAAATTTTGTTTGGTATATCTGAAGTTACATAATATTGTTCCCTTTACGGCAGTCTAATAAAATCAGTGAAGCACAAGAACTGGTCTCAAAGAAAAATGAAGAAATTATGAAACAGAGAGAGCAAGAAGTCGCTGCAAAAGAAGAGCGTCTTCGCAAAATTTCTGAGGAGAAAGAAGCAAAACGGCTAGAGATCTTAAAGATCACCACAGAAAAGTTGGAACTTGCCCAAGTAAACCGCAGCAAGGAAGAAGAGGAATTAAAAAAGAAGACTGCAGAAAGGTTGGAGCAAAAGCTTGAAATTGCAGATAAAAATCGAATGGAGTTGGCAGAAAGGGCAAAAAAGGCTAAGGAAGAAAGTGTGAGTGGGGTGAAACTGGCAATGATATTGTTTCTTAAAATTTATATTTAGTTTCTAAAATATTTGTCTCCTTTGTTGGGTACACCTTGTACATTACTTAAAATGTTTTTGTTTGGTTATCCACACACATCCTAAGTTCCTGAAACCAAATTATTGATTCTTTAATTTTAGTTTTTATTTGGTTCATATTATTACTTTGCTTTTGGGTCCATCACACGTTGCTGTAGTTTCATTGTATGTACTAAATGCTCAATATTTTTTTTCACCCACAGGATCGTAGAGCCGAGCTGGTTCGTGCTAACAAGGAACGACTTATGGCTGCTGAGAAGCATGATACTGCCTCATCTGGTTAAGTCCCTTCCTTAAACCTCGCTAACCCTCTCACCCACCCACCCATTCGGCCCAAGGAACCCACTAGGCTACTGTATTGATGATCATTCACTAAGGAGCCTACAAGCAAAGATTATCATCCTAGTAGGGTCAGATCTGAATTGCAGGCCAACAGGCTAAAGAAGACAGCACGCCTTCATGAACAAGTCAAGCTTTGGCCAATTATACCATTAATCTGTCCCTGCCCATCCATTCACAATCCTAGTGTTGCCCATTTTGAATAGATATTAGGACAGTGGGTCATTAGAAGACTCTCTTTTGTTTGTTTTTCTCTCATGGCTCAGAAGTTGAGCAAGTGAAATCCTCAAGTCTCGCCCTCGGGGGCGAATGTTGGTTAGTATCGTCTTCAGATTTCTCGCAGATTTGATGTTCCCCTTGAAGCTAATCGCCCCAAATCTAATTTGCCTTCTGATGTAGATTCCTAATGAATCTGCTATAATGCCACATGCAGTGATGTTAGCTTGTACATGATGCCTATGCTCAGCTTGAACATTAATGTCTCAATATTTACTGCTGGGTTACGAGTGATAGGTAACATTAAGGTTAATGAATACTTAGAAGATAATGCCTCTTACTGCCAATTTTATAATTTGGGTCTGTCTGTCACATGTTTCTGATAATTTTATTGACAGTGCACTGACCAACAGAAGTAGGCATTAATGATGTAGAGAATATAGATTATTAAGATTCATAAACTCCAATGTTGTGTAGGGTGCTGGATGAGTGGGTGAACATGGTGAACGGAGGTCCTTAGTTATTTTAACCTCATAACAATGCAGTAGTTGTCCCAGGATAAGAGATACCCCCTTCCCCTCCTTTACCCAATAAACTTCTTCCCAAAACCTGTCCATACTGCCTTCTGCTGTCTCGTGTTTTGCGGCAATCACATCCTTAGCGCCTCCTGCAATAGTTACATTACTGTACATCAGTGTCCTTGACTTCCCAACTGTTTCCAATATCCAGTGATATTCTCAATTAAACATTTAACATTAAGAGTCTTGTGATCTGTCTTTAGTTTTTAAGGATTTTTCTAGCCTAGATTGAAACTGAAAGCCTGTATTCTAAGACTGCCTTGTATCACTAGGAATACAGATTTTGGTTTTCATCTTTGTACATTATGTAAAAATATTTTAGTTAGTTCAAAGGAATCAAATTTGAATGCTTTAGCAACCATTGACATTTTGATTTGGATTTTAATATAAGGAATGTATGTAGTGTAAGGTTTGTGCTAGTTGACAGCACCAATAATACTGTATGCTTATCAAAGTACTGATGTCCTAATCTAATAATAGTTCCAGTGCTGATTTTTTTTTTCCATAATTAGTGTGAATATCCAAATATAGAAAATTTTGCTATGTGGGAATCTCTTCTGTTGATTTATGTTTACAGTAAATTTTGATTATTCAAACTCACTTGAGTCATCACAAGACCTAGATGTATGACAACCTGGTCATTGTATTAAGATTATATTGATAGCTGAGCAGCAACATAGAGAAATACTAGTTTTTTATTATGGAATTGTCATGTTCAGTGCCACTTGTTAAGAAGAACCAAAAAGAGTTGATACTTTTTAAAATAATATCCAGACTAGGAGCACTTGAAGCTTCTCGGTTCATTCTAGACCAGCTCCGTGTCCAGTTGTTCTTTAGGGCTTTACTGGTGAAAGATAAAAGAGCAAACTAGGTGAAAATAGAAAATGACAAAATAAGATTAATTTGATTCTCCACTGCAGTCATCATCTTTACAGAACATTTTATTTTTGATTGGAGCATTATATGTAGTGTATTTCCTAGTTATCCCAAAATTTTGATGTTGATAATTGATGTTTACTTTTTTCTGTACAAGGTTGTGCCTAATTCTTTACGTTTTAGTGAAATACAGTATGGGCAATCTCTCCTCCTGAAATTGAGACAAAGGCATCTCAATGTTTAGGTATCCTACAGGGACTTCTGGGAAAATATTTTTTTTTTTTTTGAAAGGGTCAACTTAATAGTAACACTTTCGTGCAGATTTTGCTCCCCTGCACAGACAAAATTTCATTATTTTTTTTGGCTTTCATTGTTTTGGTGTTTGTTTATGCTTAGGAAACCTTTATTTATAGCTCTTCTTCTAGCAAAGCATATAAAAGGCACTTGTAAATGTGGAAAAGTTTAATGAGGATTAAGGCTAATTTTTATATTTGACATTTGCCTCGTTTGAATAAAGTGCCATTTAATTTTGCCGTGACTTTAATTGAATGTCTATTTTTGCATACCAATGTTTGTATCTGTGTTTGTGCATTTGCAGTACATTCCACATTATAGTGCTTAATAAATGGTAGTCCAAATTACACAATTGGTAGTTTTAATGTAGTCCTGTATCATAGTCTATTGAATCTACATGAATATTTTGTCACTTTCTCCATTGTGTATTAGTTACCCAGGGAAGCTATACCAGATTTACATCATGCTACTGCTTACACCTTTCTCTCCCCCCCCCCCATCACATCACATAACATAACAGAAATAGTTACATTGTCGTTCACTCCTTCCTGTAAATTAATGCAAGGAAGTTTGTATGGTAATAGGTACAGTATTACAAGGAAAAGGATCCAGGAAGTTTAATTTTACATACAGTATTTGCAAATTTTAATGCACTATACAGTACTCGTTTTAAAATGTACAGAAACATGACAATATAGGTAGACCTACATAGACCTTGCTGTTGTGGTACTGGTGCTATATGTAGTGATAATGGATGTTAAATGTAGTGATGATTAGACATTAAAATAATAACAGTTTAATGCTAAAAAATATACTTTGTTGTACTGTTGTAGTGAAAAACATGGTGGAACTTGCATACACCGTTAATGAACTATTGATGGAAGAAGTTTTGGGGACTGAACAGCGAGACAATGTGGAGCCTCCTGAGGGTGGCGTCCTACACACTAGCTGTTCAATAGTGTCTGGCAGTGCTGCAGCCATTTTTACCAAAGATGTCAATACATGCATCACCACTTAACGCACTCCTTCACCCCCATCACTACTACGTACCTTTATTATCACTACCGAAATCGTCATTTCAGAGATGCATTATCTTCAGCCAGAGCAGATCCATACAATATCCACTGCTTCCTGCATTCAGAACACTAATGTCTGCCATTTACACCACTGGCTGTGCATCTTTTGCATACAACCTACTATACTCGTGCACATACTGTAACTGCCAACAAACTCTTAAAAACTGCACATGGCCATTTTCCCACTTTCTACCACACGTCCCTCACCCACACCACTAATCTCTTCATTTATTGTTGCCACATTCACTCGATTCCATCTTTCCATTTCTTAAATTTCTCTACTACCGTATATTCTATCGGCATTTGAGTCGTTGGTGACAAATTGAATCGGGGATGTGTTGATGGTGACCTTGGCAAATACTGTCAGGATGTAAGCAATAAATCTCAACTGCCTTAAGGAAAGTACTACAGTATATAGAGTTCCTTGGTTGACCTTTTCTGAATCATTACTGTTGTTACTCTGGGGAGATCTCTATTGCAAGAAGGCTGAGGTACAGTGGATGCAAAATCTTTGTATTTTGTGGTTGTAGAGTACCCTTGGGAAGCTACACATTTAAAACATGGTATGAAAGTTATCCAACATTTTGTGTACATAACTATTCTTTGCCATGTTTAGTGTGGCAGTTTTCCTTAGTCTTACAAGCTGATTTGTGAAAAACACACAGCCGTCGGCAATACGCTTCTTATAATTACCTCTGCAAGTCTGAGTCACTGTGGCCCTGCCTATTATGCATAAATGAAAACCGTTGCATTTTTTTTTAATATTTATTCTACATGAATAAGATTTTTGCCAGCATTGTGAAGAACAAATGCAAAGTGATTAGATATCTTTCCATATAAATAAATTGCCTAGTCATACAATGCATTTCAATGCATCTAAATTTTTCTGTGGTCACAGGATCACTAATTGATTAATAAATTGCTTTAGTATTGTTGTGTACTGGATGTGTGGCCAGAAAATATCCCAGACTCGGGACGAGGTAGGAGAGAAACTCACAATTGCGGTTTCTTTATATATTGTAAGTACAGTGCAGTGCTAGGCAGATGCCGTGTGGTGAGAAGCTTGCTCAGAAGTCACGTTGGGTGAGTAGCGTGCTGAAGGGAGTAGCTGTGCAGGAGCTTCGTTAGAAAAGGTGCTGCGTGTCGCTGGCCTCCAGGTTGAATGCCTCTACACGTTCCAAGTTTAGAAGCTCGGCGAGAATAGGAGCTCATTACTGGAATGGAAGTAAGTTGCCCGTGTCGACCCCCCCCATGTCTAGACACGTCGGAGAAACTGTCTACTTGTGTAGGCTTTCTGTACACCTTAAATTTGTAGTTATGGCCATTTCTAATGATAAGCATATCAAAGAATGGAAGGGATCCATTTATTTCTCTTTCAATTTTGAATGTGATACTTGGGGCAATATCGTTAAGCTTGTCTAAAAATTCCAATGGGTCACTGTTTCTAGGCAAAAGACAAAGAACATCATCTACATATCTATGCCATGGAGGAATAAAGTCCCCATATTGGGTAGTAATCTACCCTAAAAAAAAAATATATATATATATATATATATATATATATATATATACTGTATATATATATACAGTATATATTATAACCAGAGATGGTGGTATGAGCCCCAACAATCTATGGTTGTACAGTGAGTCTCGGCAGTTAAAAATTCCCTGTCCATTCCTATGTTTCATGATATCTTTTCAATCCTTATTGCCAACTTGTCCTGTGTTCTTACTCCTTTTCCTAATGATTTAACCAAAATACCACCATTGCAGGCATGACATATTAAGCAAATTATTCTAAATTGGGTACACTAATGCTCCTGGGTTTTTTTAAGGTAATCATAAAATTATTGATTTTGTTTTTTAATCACTGGGAAGGGTTCCTTTAAAGTAAAGTATATAGAATTACATATTTCAGTCAAACATTTTCTACAATTCTTGCCCAATTGTTTTTGTCAATTCTGCTGGAAGCTGATCAACCCCACATGATTTATCATCTTTCATTACGCACAGCTGCCTCAACTTGTTTCCAAAATTGGCAATTCGATCATAATTTCCTTTTTGTTTCTTGCCTCTATTCTATATTTATCACAGTATAGTTCTTCTACGTACTCTGCCCAGCTCTCATTTTTACCTCTTCTGCCACAAATAGGATCTTATTGTCTTAGCTTTTAATAGTCCCACCGGGTCCGACTAATTACCCAAATGTAACCGCAATGAAGTCAAATAATGGTCCTACGTGAATAAATCGGACTGCCAATCACTTCTCGACTGGTATTAGGTGTCGCGAAGTCACAAAAAATTGGTAAACTTAATTTAATCTGAGTCAATAGATCGAGTGCATGTACCTAACCTAACCTAACCTCGACTAGTATTTGGTGTCACGAAGTCACAAGAAATTGGTAAACTTAATTTAATATGAGTTAATAGATCGAGTGCATGTACCTAACCTAACACAACACAACTCAGATTAAAGTAAGTTTTCCAATTTTTTGTGACTTTGTGACACCTAATACTAGTCGAGAAGTGATTAGCAGTCCGATTTATTCATGTAGGACCATTATTTGACTTCATTGCAGCTACATTTGGGTAATTAGTCGGACCGGTCCCACCCAATTTATTTTTATTTTGGGGGGTTCATTTGTTTAGTCTATTAAATATTTTATTTAATTTTTTATTATAATTTTTATAAATTTTTATTAATTATTATTATTATTACTGTACTGTATTATTATTATTATTATTTTCGCCTCCCAGGCCCTGATGTGAGCCAGTGACCTGTACCCGGGTGGGCTAATCCCAGTAAAAAAACAAAAATAATAATAATAAAAGTCTAACCTAACCAGATCGAGAAACCAGACTTATCCCGCCATAGAGTAAAGCTGAATACAGTATTCTTTTTCTCCATCTCCCTCCATAAAAATACAAATCAATATTAAATTCCGTGGTTAGCCTTTTTCAGAATCTTAACCGCAACAATTCAAAGTACACACATGAACACACGTGTGTGTACAATGAAAGACAAAAGTCATGTCGTGAAATTTGGTGAAAACATAATCATGCCGAAGGGTAAACTTTTGGTGTGCTCTGCCTTGTGGTAGGGGGCTCTCATAATGCTTCACGAGTTATATTTAATCTTCGGACAAAACCGCGACACGACTTGTGTCATATTGTATCACGCCGTAAGGGTGCCGAATAATTTTCAGTGGGTGTACAATGATACTTGTATACACACAATGTATATATGCACGATACATACATGTACAACCCACAAAAAATTATTCGGCACCCTTATGGCGTGATACAATGTAACACGGGTGCCGTATAATTTTTTAGTGGGTGGTAGTCACCCAAAAAAGTCCTGTCGCGAACCATGAACCCCGAGATTCATTTATGGACAGAATAATGTATCAGTGTCTATTGCTTCGGGTTTACGAGTCTGAATCTCGGGGTTCGTGGTTCGCGACAGGACTTTTTTGGGTGACTGTACATACTGTTGTGGGGGCTAAATTGTTTGGTTCACACTCAGGATGGGATGGAGAATGGAAACTCACAATATGCTCTCTGTATACATGTTGTATTGGATGTACAATGCAGCTTGGTGCTGGGAAGTGGCAGCATGGTTACAAGCGTGATGTAGAGAGAGCTGGTTGGTGAGGGTGCTCAGAGGAGGACAGCTTGCGGGTCGCCATGCTCGCCAGCGGGAGCGAGGACCGCCAGGCAGCGCGGAGGAGGAGGAGGTGTTGCTGGCTGGTTGGTGTAGGTAGAAAAGAGAGTGGTCACACGAGGTCAGGTCTTAAATAGCGGAGGTAGGCAGGTAGGCGTGGCTTAGTAGTTGACCTCCGTTATGTAAGGCGGCGCTGGTTGACCTAGACCACGAGACATACACTGGGGAATTCGCGGGATCGGCTACTCAGCGACAAACAGCGTCTGTAGGGGAGAAATCCACTACACTGTACATGCATGAAGGTATATGTGAATGCATTTCTGAGTAGGCTTATACTATTTCTCCCACAACATCTATTTTAATACTATACTCATTTAACACTCACAATTTAAGAAGAATCTGCCCAAATAAACTTAAGTTAATGGACAAAGGGCTGAAGTGCTACATCGCAGGGTGTAGTGGATTTCTCCCCTACAAACGCTGTTTGTCGCCGAGTAGCCGACCCCGGGAATTCTCCAGTGTATGTCTCGTGGTCTAGGTCAACCAGCGCCGCCTTACTGTACATGACGGAGGTCAACTATTAAGCCACGCCTACCTCCGCTATAAAAG